GACTCCTAATTTTTCAGCCGGATGGCTTTGATTCAAATCTTCTGTTGCCAAATCCAAAAGCATGCCCTTGGAGAAGTGGGGAGAGTTACTCCAATTGGAGGCAGCTCTAGCCTTGTACATCTGATGCTTGCGCTCACATGGCCAGCAATCAATATGTCGTTGATTCTTTTTGATTTGCTGGGAAGTGTGTAGCACATAGTGGAATTTGGGCCGCATGGCAGACGATCCATAGGCAGCAGCAAACGCTTCCATGTGTGTTCGTTGCAGGGGGAGTAGCTTCTCTACATTGGCTGTGCGCTTCAAGTCGGCCAGCAATATGATGACCTGGTAGAGCGCTTCCAAAGAACGTATGGCCGCTTGAACATGTTCCTGCTCAGAAGGGACTTCACGTCCAAAGGCAATGCACAGTGGCAACACCAGCGCACTGCTCGTGGCATCACCTCTGTAATCATATCCTTCTTTCCAGGTCTTGTCCGTGAAAAATTTCTCCGGAGATACTTGTTTGGCTGCCGGCGTTCCTGGACATCGTTGCCACATCGCGGCAAAAATTTGTAGATGGTTCAACGTCACATTGCACTGTTCACGGAGACGACTCCACCAAAGACCTAACTCTTGTGGTAGTATCCCGTTGCTGTAGTACCCATGCATGGTGTCATATTGAATGTTTTCGACCTTGACCCAGTCGCGGAGCTCTGGAGCCGTCAAAGGGCCATTCAAAAAGTTTGTGGCATTCCAGCCAAGGAATTTTTCCAATTCCTTTTTCTTTCCTTTGCTCATTTCCACTCGAAGGCGGTCTGCGGCTGCCAGTACCGAATCACAAGTCGCAGGCCAAAACTGCGACATGTCACTCTGAGATACATCGTGATGTTCCAGCACGTGGGACGCCTTCCCAAGCGCAAGACAATTTAAACATTTCAAACAACATTTCAAGCCTGACGCCCCTTTCGTGCCCGTAGCTGCACGAATGGCCTCGTGATCCATTAGCAGAATCACGGAGTCGATCCAACACAGAGTGGGCTCCTGCGATGCTCCCAGATCAAGTGCGAAACCATTCTCTGTCTCCACTCGAATCTGTTTGAGCATGGCCCGTGTCAAGTTCGCCATGCCCGCTTCCATGCGGGAGATTTCATTGCTGCGCGTTACGCCCAATGTCAGCCATTGCTCAGCCATAAATATGACAGGAAATTCTAACCAGGTGAAGTATGTCAGGTTACTCTTGCGAGCACCGTCGGGATTCAGGATGTTACCTCCTGACACTTCATCCTGATATAAGATCAGGGTCAGCGTATCTTTGCGCTCTGCAAGCGCCTTTTGCATCGACGTACGATACAGAGGGCAACTGTCCACTTTGGCTTGCACCAACGCGGGCAGACTCAACATCCACGCGCGCTCTGTCCCATCTGTCTCAGACGATGGCACCTCTAGTGAACGCAGACACGGAAACGCCTTGGCGTGATTCAGGTGCTGCCTTCTGCAGGTACTAGCGCCTTTGTCGTCTGAACGTATCAGTTGCACGACCTGGCGGCACTCCGCACCTGTGAGCGTTCCAATCTGCCTGACAGCATGGAATTGCTCACGGCAGGAATCTTCTGGTCGTAATTTCCTCTTCCGCATGGGGCCATGCTGCTGCGAAGACACACAGACGTCATGCACACTATAATGTTTCGTGTTCTCTTTACGTCACTATATATACTCCATGCCTGAAGATTATAGGATATATTATTCTTCGCAGCCATGATAAAATTTACGATTCTATAGAATTCATAGTTTCTTTCAGGTCTGTGTGCGCATAACCATGCGTAATGCGGCCCTGACCATTGTACTCTTTGACTCTGCAATACAAACGTATAACATAGGACCTCAAAGAGATCGTAGTCATGATGTCTTTTCAGCATTTTTGACTTTGCCTTCATTGAAGAAAGATATCACAACATATAACCCCAGGCTGCTGTTGTTTCGAGCCATGGACACTCCGTACTCACACTCCCATACAGTCAAGAAAGTGCGTGCCCCTGCTGACTCACCGTTGTCGCAGTCACTGCTGCGGACTTCCCTCATCTGCTATGTCCAAAAAGTTTAAGAGGGTTTCATTTATTTGGCACACGGCAACCACACGCAAAACCGCAGCTTTTTCACCCCCCACCAACGAACTCAGACTCACGTCTTCGATCCTCTCATGCGAACGCTTTCAAAAGCTCATAAGGAGCAAAGCGTCGAGACGGAGGATCGTCTGACATGCTACCCCACATTTTCTAAACAAAGTTATATGCTTCAGGACGACTTTATGCGTCGACGCAGTTGCTTCGCAGGCTCAGCTGCCGACGTCCCAGCATTGGCACCGGCACCTTCGTGCTGCCGCTTCTGGGCACCGGCCTTCGCCTTCGGCGCGGGCAACAAAGCCTTCAAGGAGCTCTGTGCTTCAGCGACCGTCTTATGCAAGCATTTGAGCTCGACCGGGTCAAACGGCAAAGGCGTCAAGGTTGTCTCCCCGGACTGTACCTTTGCCTCATCCCATCGAGCCAAAGCTGTCTTCGCTGCAGTGTTCCACGTCTGAAGCTTCTGGACTGAGTCAGTGTAAGCACGTTCGACACCCTCCGGCAAATCCACCGTCACTCGGTGGCGCATCTTTTGCACTGACTGCAAATCCTGCGCCAGAGGTGCGACAGCTCGCGCCGCGAGGATCTGCAGCTTCTGGTTGGTCCCCGCTGCTTTGCGCTGCGCGGCAGCCTCCGCCCGGGCTGCTTTCTTCTCAGCGCTCGCAGACGGTTGGCCCTTGGCTTCCGCATTTGCTTTCGGTACGTCCAGCTCCCCCGCCACACCTCCGTCCTCTGCTTGGCTCCCTGTTTTGCCACCACGCTTCAAAGTCGCATCTCGCTCCTGACGAAGCACCCTTTCTTCGACTTCCTGGTAAGCTTCCTTCCATGTCTTCGTCTTGACTGGAATCTGGTATGTCCAACAGTTGAGTCCTTCATTCCACTCCGAGGTGTTTCTCTCAACGACTTCCTTCTCCCACCCCCGTGTGATCCACACGCTCAGAGGTAAAAATTCCTCGTTGATGGTCGTTGACGTCTCTTGCAACTGACGCGTAGTCAGAGTGGATATCAACTGAGCACGAACCGTTTGCCAGTTCATGCGGCTATCTGGATTTGCCTTCCGTTCCTCGTGCAGCTTGCAAAAGAATGCATGCTGCTCCGGGACCGGAAGACTTTGGAGTTCTGACTTGTCTCCGAGACCTCTGCGTAAGAGGCGATCAGCAGAGGCACAAGGCACGCACTGAAACTTGCGTCCATGCACTCTCCCCTGATCTGGCTCGTAGCGCAGATTGCAGAGAGTGCACTTCGGACGCGTCTCAGAAGCGTCAGCCATCGCAGACAGCACAAGTCGAGCAGCTCCTCAAGAGGAGAGAGACGCGTCCCAACTGAAGCCAAACAGCTGCAAAACAGAAGTTTTAGGTCCACACTCCGCGGACAAGGTCAAGAGAGGTTCCAGCCGCGGACATACCCCAAACGTCAAGAAATGCAATGTTACAGTATTAACTTCTAAATTACTTTAGCTTCCGCGGACACGCGGACAAGTGACACTCCTGCAGGAGCTGCGGACAACCGCGGACAACCGCGGACTTTTCGCGGACGTTGCTATTTCCTATGCCTGTGCCTATCACTGGCTTTCAGTGCAACGGGTACGCTGCAGCAGCTCAGAGACATCAGCGACAAGATGCGCCACTTGCTCCTGGGCCACTTGAGCCCACGTGGCCTCGGGCAAGAGGTCGGTGCACTGCTGCAGCTCGACCAGATCAGCAATGGACTGCTGAAAGATCTCTACGTGGTACCCGTTCAGCACGACCTTGAATTTGTCCCACTGATCTGTCCAGTCCAACAAGACGCACCCAATGGTCTGACCATCTGCTTGGCCGAGCTGATCCCAGTCTTCTTTGAGCCACCACTGAATCAGCTTATTGAGGCGCAAGACAGAAGTGGCTGCCTCAATGTCTCCGGCCGCGTAGGCGCGCGCCTCCGCTTGATCCAGGGAGTCGCTAACAGTTTCCCAACAAGACTTCCAAGATGACCAGTGCGATTCTGGACTGGACGATGCTGCTTGCAATGCGGAGCGAAAGGCTTCCAACTTTGTCTTGGTGATATTGAAATGGCATGAAGTCGGCATTAGGAACGGCAGCGATATATAACCCTCCGGCGCACCCTACGATTTTGAGCCTCCATATATGCAAGGCCATGAACATGTGAGTCGGGTTAAGGAATTTATAAAGGAAGAAAAAGTTTCTTTGCTTGGTTCCTTTCTTCCCCATGGCGTACAGAACGGACGTCTTTTTTTTGCACCCTTGGCTCACTGCACTCTCTATGCTCTATCGGCAATCATGCTATGTTGATGATCACCTGGCGCCCGGAGGAGCTACTTTTCTTCTTCTTTCCTTTGCTGGCCTTAGCCGGCTCCGCGGCGGGAGGTGCATCCGAGCCGCTTGGGCTCGGGCTCTCCAGAGGCACAGGCTTTGGAAAATCCGTCTTGGTTTTGCGGGGCTTGCCAACCTCCGGCAGTCTGCGGGGCTCGGATCGCTTAGATACCGCAGCCTCGGCTTCCGCATCCCGCTGGTCCTGCATCTCCCTCTTTGCTCGTAGGGCCTGGGCCTGCGCCAGTGTGGCGTCCCAATGTTCCTGGTCCTGTTGTTTCTCCGGTAAGGCATTCCACATCTGGTACCGGATGCAAGTCACATTCAGGTACATGTGTTGCTTTTGACCACTTTGCTGTGTCGTCAATTGTTTGGAACAATGCGGACACTTGACGTACTGGCCCCACTGCCTCCCAACGGACTTCGCGGGGCGCGGTCGGGCCCTGAGCTCCACCGGCTGCTTTGGAGGTCTGTCAGGTTCTGGTGGAGGATCCCTGCCTCTACGTGTTGGGGAGCGCTCCTTCCTGCGCTTCTTCTCTTCCTTCTCGTGCCTTGACCGTGAGCGGCCCCGGCGCTCACGCTCGGAAACCGCCGCACGCTTTCCTTTGGCACTGCCACGACGATCACGACTGCGCGTGTCCCTGGACCTCTTGGGCTCTGCGGAACGAGCCACCCGATTGCCCTGTGCATCCCTTTCACGTGGATCAGGATGAGGCAACGGTTTCTCGTCCACCACCTCTTCGTCCGTCTCGTACGTGTAGGAGTCGTCGTCAGCAGCCGCAGCCATGCACCTGACAGGGGAAACCGGACGATTGTTGCACTATATATTATGTGGAATGATATGTTCAAGTTTATATGCGATGCAGTGCACACTATATAGTATACGTGTAGATAACCCGAAAACTCCCCGAACAGCTGCTCGACGAGATGGGCCTGTCGATTTGTTTCGATCTCCCGTAGAGATCTGACAGCAACATCTCCACGTAGGAGATGTGCGTGCAGTACCCCGTAGGTACCACAGAAATGGATACCCCGTAGGTATCCGGAATCCCCGTAGGATTCCACGATTCCCCGTAGGAATCAGGTATCAAGATACCTCGTAGGTATCTGGAAGCCACGTAGGATTCCATGTTTCCACGTAGGAAACAGTTAGCAAGATACCCCGTAGGTATCTCGAAACCACGTAGGTTTCCAAAATTCCACGTGGGAATCCGTTACCCCGATACCTCGTAGGTATCTTGAATCGACGTAGGATTGCAGGTTTCCACTTGGGAAACCGTTAGCCAGATACCCCGTAGGTATCCGGGAGCCCCGTGGGATTTCATCCCCCATTTCCACATAGGAAACCGTGGTATATATACAGAGCACCGTCGTAGAACGCCAAATACAGTCAATGTCCGAGAGGCTCCGATAACCCTAGAAACCATACCGTATCCATCTCACATAAAAAAATCCCGAGATATATTGTATAAGAATCAAATACCCCGGATCCCGCCTCACGCCACCAGGACTGAGCTTCTGGTTGGCCCCCCCTGCGTTTGAGCCAAACACCTGGAACGCAACGAGTGAAAGCGGAACGTGGCCATAACAAAAAAGCCCCTGCGATTCAGACGTATACCATTGTTTTTTCTTCCCGCACATGTCCTCGAAGTGTTGCGTACCAAGTTGGCTATTCTATATATGCTCCTCAAACTACGGTATAGCCCCGACGTTTCCAGCAGCTGGGAGTGCAGTAGCTTCGATGATAACATCTACTACAGCCATCTTTCCACTGTTCCAACTCCGGGGGAATCTTGCTGAGGAGCAACCTGTCTCGACGCGTTGTCGCAGGCTGTGACTCTTCTGGTTGAGCTGAACTGCTAGGACGCTTCATGACCTTTCGTTCCCCGACTTGACCATCTTTAGCTGCAGGACGCTTCAAAACTTTCTTAGAAGCAGGACGTTTCATTTTTTCTTCTTTCACTGTCTCTTTTTTCTCGGGGGCAACCTCAGCTTTCAAGGCTAGCAGAGTCTTTGCAACCCTTTCCTCGCCCGAGGGAACGGCCACTGCAGAGACCTTGTCTTCAGTGGCTGTCTCCAAGGAGACAGAAGGTGTCACAGGTTTGTCGTCCACACTTCCATCTTCTAAAGCCAACTGAGGCAATGACGTCTTCTGCGCCACACTAGATGGAGTCACAGAGGATGCAGGATGCTGTCCCGTAGACATTATGCCCGCCACCATCTGGCCAACTGCGAAAAAGTCCGGGGCAGAGCTTGAGGCAGCTTTAGCCGCAGACCCTTGAGCAGCAGGCCCTTGAGCAGCAACGCGATTAGTGATTCTCATGGGCCACTTGCGTCCTCTCAAAATGAGATCCGCGGCAGTATCCACCTCAACGGGCTCTGTCCCATCTGGAAAAGCCAGGGAAAATAATTCCGCTGGACACTGAGAAATCTCCATGGGAAGAACCTCGCAATACACAGGCGGATCCGGTTGATCCACCAATCTTTGAATGGTGCCCTTATGCAATTGCGTATATTGCCACTTGTCCGCTTCGAAAGCCACACCATGCCAATCGAAACACATGGCCAAAATCAAGCCACATGTTTTCTCGGTGGGATGCCGCAAGCCAAGCCGAACCAAATGCTGACATAAGAGTTCCAGCACCTGTATCCTGTTCCGATCCCGCTCCAGCTTTGCGACTAAAGAAGCGGACAAGTAACAGACTGCTGCTAGGTAGTCTTGATTCGATTTCCTGGCACTGGGATCATCCTTACCAGTCCGATCCACAATCTTCTGTCGCAACTCATCCGTGTGGTGGTTCCACAGTTGTGGCTCCAATACCTCCAATAAGCGAGCCGATGCGTCAGTCGACAAATAGTCGACCTTCAGAAAGAAACGCTGCAACTCATTCACTTGTTTCCTTTGGATGTCACCAAAGGTGGGCAAACTCTGCACACCACGCAAAAATTTTTGCGCAGCTTTCAACTGCCTTTCAAGCGGAGCGGCCATGGAATGTCCCCAAAGCCAACAAAATCATACCTTGAACCCAGCTGCCTGAGAATCACAAGATTTCTGTGCACATCAGTTCTAACACATTTGCCCGAAATCAATCATAAAAATTGCAAAAAAACTATCCGTGCAAAAAAACTAACGAAAAACATGCATTATTATAACTAACCTAAGTCTGAGCTAAGTCTATCCTAAGTTACCCATACTTTAGTATTCGGGAACTTATAAGTAGCTAAGTTGTAGCTAAGTCAGGGGCTTCCAAACCATTAACTTAGCATGTACTTAGACCAGTTACACAAGTTATAACTCCACTTCTAAACATCTTACGATAAATATAAATCCTTTATAAATTAGCTAACTCCCCGGGGCCATCCTAGTACCAAGTACTTAGGTCGTATATATATATATATACATATGTAAACTATATATATATATAAACTATACACATACAAATAAATAAATATATATATATATATATGGGATATATATATATACCACCCCCACGAATGGAAAGTGGTTCATCTCGCCCTGGCGCGCCTCGAGGTCAGCCGCCAAGGCCGGGCTGTCGGAGCTGCACGAGGAACTGGCCAAGGCCGCAGGGAATCTGATGCTGAGCTTTCGGTCAAGTCATAACCATGGGAAAATGGGAAAACCATGGGAAAACCATGGGAAAATGGTGATTTAACCACTATAAATGGTGATTTTATGGTGGTTTAATGGTGATCTAATGGGATGTTACCTTCTGGTAAACATACAAAAAGCTACTGAAAATGGCCATAGAAATAGTGGATTTTCCCATAAAAAAATAGTGTTTTTCCATAGTTATGTTAGTTTACCAGAGGGTAAAGCAAAGGTTTATTAAACATGTATTACCCTCTGGTAATTTAACATAGCTATTCTCGCCATTTATAGATGAATTACCCATTAAAAGCTGTGATTTTTATAGTTATGTTAGTTTACTGGAGGGTAAATGGAATGTAATGGGAAATATAATGGGAAATATAATGGGAAATATAATGGGAATATAATGGGATAATTACAATAAACTAACGGGATATAATGGGAAATGCAATGGTATACCATGAAAAATAGCGGTGTAATGGGATATTTTTTGGGAATATCATGGGGAAGTGATGATGTATACCCGGCCTGGTAAACCTTTACATAGCGAACTGGAAAATATCTGTGGGCCATTGGGGCCATTAGAGATGACCGCGGAGGGATGGGATGGTAACTTTTTTGTTTTTTTGGCCCATTCGGGAAATTATGAATGATAATAATGGCCTAATTTAGTATTAGTTCATAATCATGAATATTATTCAATAGCTATTTCATGCTATTCAAGAATTTTCAATTATGAACTAAACCATAATTCAATAGCTATTCAGCAAGCAGTACTGCTCAGTACTGCATGGGATGGGATAGGGGTATTTTTCACGGCTCAAATGGTGGATTGAAATGGGGAGAACGCTGGCTATGTGGAGAAGAGGGACATACTTGGGATGCTCCTGGAAGTTACCATTTGTTTGCATATGTAATTATGTCCATATTAATAAATTAGTTCGATGTATCTACTGTACTATAAATCCAATCACCAACTTGCTTAGTTCAGCCAAGTTAACTAGCGAACTGGGGCACCTTGCGAAGAAGTCATCCTTTCAGGGACTTGGTCAACTTTCGAAATGGATACTTTCGCAGATGGCTCAGATCCGAATTTGGTGACCCGTGGTGGGTCCCTGGTGGGTCTGGTGGCAGTGGGGAAAACCCAGGAAGCTGCGGAATCTGCGCACCATCCTTTTCGTGGATGAGCTGCACCGATGGACCAAGGCTCAACAGGACGGCGGAAGACGTGGCTTCGTGTCCTGGTGCCCCGTATAGTTACTGGTTGGTGGTTTGGAACATTTTTTATTTTTCCATATATTGGGAATAGTAACCCCAACTGACTAATATTTTTCAGAGGGGTTGAAACCACCAACCAGGTTATGAGTTGCCTTCTCACTATAGATGTCGTCATCATAAACTCTAGTTGTACAAACTATAGTTACAACTTAGCTGTCTGTTGTTTTCAAATAAGCCTCTTTTTCTGAACCAACAAAAATGGGATAACGATCCCCAACGACGAGCATATTTTCCAAGGGGCACCATCAACGATCGAATGATCGAACCACATTTCACCACCAACCGTTGACCACCAACAACACATCTTAACAGCACTGCTTAGCAACTCACTCTACAAAATGGCGCTGGCGATGCTCTTCCTTAGGGGGCTGTAGATAGGCTTGAGTCTTGGTGCGGCACGGGCGGATGTCTTCCAGCCTATTCCAGGACGCTCTCCTGTTGGACTGCGAGCGTGGCACCATTGTTTTGATCGGTGCCACCACAGAGAATCCGTCCTTCTCCTTGAACAACGCCATCCTGTCGCGATGTCGTCTGGTGGTCTTCGGTAAACTTCCGCAGGAGGTCCGGGGGTCCTTCGGGAAACAGAGAGGCTTCAGGTGGAATCTGCGGCGGTAATTGGAAATGACACTTGGGACCCCGGTTGAATTTCAAGATCGGATCCCCGTTCACATCACTTACCCTCTGGTAATCCAACTTAGGGAAAAAAAATCCGTTTATAGATGATTTTTCTATTAGTATGCCCATTGACGGAAGATTTCCCAGCCATGTTTGAATCCCGGAGGGTGGGAATCCCAGTTCTTTCAGCCAGAGGCCATCGTGCAGGTCTTGCATCGTGCAATGCAGAAGGACATCCACCTGAAAGGCCAGGCACAGGGGAAGCTCACAATTTCCATCGGGGGATTCGCAACAGAATGGGTAGATTATCATAGAGATGGGTTACGCTGTTACAATTAGACCCAAATATATTATAGCATTACAGTAAAGGAAACACATGGAAGACCGAGGATACACCATTTTGGGGTACCATACTGTTTGGGGACTTCTAAAGACACCCTAAATAAACCCTAACTCTAAAGCATTCTAAAACCAACCCTAAACCCTAAATAAGTCCTGTATAGCTCTAAGACCAACCCTAAATGAACCCTATATAGTGCAAACTACCATGTTAGTTGACTGAGCACAAACATGTTGCAAATACCATGAGAGGTTCAAACTCAACAATGTTGCAAATACCGTTGAAATGGCAGATTTCAGCTCGAAAATGTTGCAAAAGACAAGGAACATGTCCAGAACAGGACATCCAAAAAAAATACCTGAACGGAAAAAACACATTCCCAAACAATTCCGGACCCATTGTATATATATACATCTCTATATCTATAGTCTATATCAATATCAATATCTATATCTACATATACATATATATATATTATCTATATAAATATTATGTATATAGATATTATGTAATTATGTATATATATATATTTAAACATTATGTATATATATCTATATATTATGTGTATATATATATATATATACTATGTATATTTATACCGGCCCTGACCTGCCAGACCTGGAACTCACCCCCGCAGCCCAGCAGCTGCTGTGCGTTTGCGCCGACGGCGATGCGCGGGTGGCGTTGAATGCGCTGGAACTAGCGGCTGCCATGACGGCGACAGGAGAACGACCTTTGAACAACCAGTGGAAATTGGGGGTTTTGAGGGGTTTTCATGCGCAGATTTGCTGGGTCATATTTTTTTTTGTTTTGGCAGGTTGTCTTGAAAATCAAGGTCTGTAAAATACCGTAAAATCCTACGGATTGTGATCATTGTCCCATTCAAATGGCCATAAAATGGGTTATTCCTCATTTTCGGATGTGTTCTTGCTTTTATAACTGACCGAACAATGGGGATCAGAAGGCACAAATTGTGGTCTTTAGAAAATAAAAGACTTCACCAACGGATTGTTTTTTTTGCCGGGTTCATTTTGTTGAACGATAACTTAATGGTTAATCAATACATTTCTGAAAATTCAACTTAGCCAACCAAAAATAGTGATTTCAATGGTTCACCAACGGAAAAAAAATGATTCAACCGACCAAAATTCCAGGGGTTTATAGGTTGGCCAGCCGAGATGACATGGGACTTTCTTAACCATTTCTACACTTAACCAACCTAAAACATCCTACATCAAAACAACAAAAACAATGTTCTTAAACAATCCAAATTGGGGATTTGCAATCGCATTTTTTTTGCGCCGACAAAAACAAGGGGGTTGAATCAATCTGGATCGAAAATGGTGCCTCCAGGATCGCCGATAGATGAAGATGCAGTGCGCTCGGCTATTCAGAAGCGTGCGCTGTATCTCAGCGATGCCATGTTGCTTTTGAAATGGTACTTTGTTAATGACCTGGATAATAATCATTAACCCAGTCATACCCTTAATATCCCTGTGTTATAATCGTTTTCTATATGGGCTATCATGTAGAAATATGGGGCCCATAATGCCACATATCGTCCCAAATATCAAACATTTGGAGGGTAAACCATCTCAAAAATCTGGCCCAAGAGTTACTCGTAGCTTAGTTGCTTTAGAAGCAGGTTCGCTAGGATTTACGGCAGATGTATCCACAGTTCATGAAATTTGCAAAGCAACTTGTAAGTGAGGGGACCTTTCTGAACTATTGAGGTTTGTTTATCATTGTGCTTTCCCCCCGACCACGGTTGCGCCAAGGTATGATCGAAATGGTGACTTCCACTACGATCTCATCAGTGCATTACATAAGAGTTTGCGAGGAGGACTTGGATAGTTGTGCCTCATCGCACCTGACAAAATCATGTAGGCTCCCAAAACATGGGCCCTGGTTGCGTCGGTTGAGTATACTTACGGCAAGTGATAGCAACCGAATACCGGGTTCATCTAGCCAGGGTTCACATCAGCTGAGTTTGAGGGAAATCCTCCCAGTTTTAGAGGGCCGCCAGCCATGAATTAAACAACATCCTCATAATTGCGAATGAATTGCTCCTTGCATTCACTTCCACCACTGGTTCAGAATATGTACAATAAATATATATGGGGGCAAGTCAAAACAGGAGGTCCGGAACAAGCTCCGGGACCACACCCGTTCCATACCCCCGTTCCATACCCCCGTTCCATACCTCCTTGAAGAATCCGTTCCATACCTCTGTTCCATACCTCTGTTCCATACCTCTGTTCCATACCTCTGATCCATACGTTATTATATATATAATTATATATATAATTATTATTTATATATATATATATATACAATTATATATATACAATTATGTGCAATCTGATTTTACATTTGTACGCACATATATGAGCGCACGTACATACATGAGTGCATACATGCAAGAATACGTTTACTATGCCCAAGCCCTGTGATTGTGTTGGCAAGTCTATGCCTGCAGCACTTACAGCTGCTACCCACTATGTTGTGTGATGGTAGGGATGTGCTTGGCTGCTGCCAGCTGGCAGTCTAAGAATGGATTGCTTGTAACCCTCCCTCCCTCTCAACCTGTAGCAGGTTTGTGCCTGCACCACTTAAAGTTGCTGCAGGCTGTGGCACAGCTGTGGTGTTTGATTGTAGAGATCGAATTTTGATAAAGATGTGCTGCGTGGTGGCAGTGCTGTGCTGGAGTGGGCCGTTTCGTTCCAGACCCCGTTCCATACCGTTCCATACCCGTTCCAGACCTGGACCACCCATGTACCACCCCTGACCCACTGGTGAACACATGGCATGTTCTCACATAGACTGCTCGTAAGCCATCCTTTGCGCGTGGGTTATGGGAGGGTAGAGTCTTGCTATGCAGGGACACAATCTACCCCATAGGGACCTCTGAGTTTTAAGAGTAGGAGGTGGACCTGCGTGACAGGTCTGAAATGGTCTGAAGCTGAGTCGACAGCTTCACATGGTAGCCAGTGGGTGACACTGGCTACCGGTCGTGTCGTATCTAGTGCACGAGCACTAGCCATGCAATGCAAACCTGCGTTGAACAGGTGTACAACAAGGATGTCGTGCAGATGAGGAGTAGCTTCAACGTGCATATCCTTGAGATGTATATTATATATGTTACATATAATGTATGTATATATATATATATACATTTATTTATTTATGTATAGCCTATATTTCATCACACTCCAAAGGTCCGGAACAAGACCAGTTACGAAGCCCCTTCGTTCCATACGCCCGGAACACCGCGGAACGTTCCATACACAATTTTGACTCGGGACCATATATATATATATAATATACATAATATCAGTAACCGACAAAATTAGCAGAAGACTAAAGTATATAGTGGGGAGTGGACATGGGATGTTTAAATTTGTGCGAACACATTCACAACTGATAAGGGACCACCCACTTACCGATACCCTATTTTTGTACATAGCATGGAAGTACAAACTTTCACAACCGATAGGGGACCACCCACTTTGGCCATGTCCCATGTTCAGCGGGTTGTCAGTAATTTTGTTCGCCACTCATACATTAAATATACACTCTGGTAATCAAACGCGGCAAAGGAACATCTCCATTTGTAGAGGATTTTCTCATGTAAACCTCTATTCACAGGTGATTTCCCATTGTCATGTCTGATTGCGGGAGGGTGGTAAAAGGGTCCTGTTGGCCCTCCACCCCCATCTCATATCCATTATCCATTGGCTCAACTCTATTTTTTTGCTGGTTGATATCCCCATTGTTACCGATTATATAGTTCAATTGTCCCCCCCAAAATAGGCACAATACAGACATTAGAATAAAATATGATATATGATTATATGATCACTTCAACATATTTCAAGCATTCAACTTCTTTTGGTTTTCTATGGATATCCTCTCTGTCATCTTGGATCATCTCTCAGCTGGCAGGATGTCCGGACGGTGCCCTGTACTACGCCACCCGCATGCTGACGGCTGGCGAGGAACGCTTGGTATCTCCATAACTCGGTTGTTGAAATCCACCTTTTGTGTGTGTTTTATGTTGATACCAGGTGGATTTAACACGCAGAGTTAGAAATGCACACCAGGGATATTTTTGAAACACCACTATCTGTATCTACCATTATCATGGGAATATACTGGGGATATATTTTGGGATATTGTTATCCACTCTAGGTTTTAAATCACATTAAATATACATATTGCGTGTTTCGAATATCATAGGGATAGAACATTGATATAATCGGGATTTAGTGGAATATATTTGGAATATCATGGGACATATCATGGGACATATCATGGGACATATCATGGGACATATCATGGGACATATCTTGTAGATATTGGGGAGTTGACCAACAATAGATTACAGTTGTTAACCACAATAGATTTCCTTTGTGTTGCACTCTGTTTATTGATCATAAATGGACATAGATTTTTTTTTACACTAGCATTTATCATAAGCAAAGGCTAACCATGTCACATGGAACTATTGCAATGACTTGAATGACTAGAAGTCACGGGGGATATCACATGATCCAAGCCACCATGATTTGTGATATGTACCTGGGTAAATTTAATCACGACCTCACGTCGTTCTCCCGAGCCCTGGAATCATGGTTTTTATAGGGAAATCATCCCAAAATGGCCCAACAATTCAGGTGAGTGAAACATTAGAATTTACCCAGATATAAATATATAAATATATAAAATATATATATATATACACAATATACACAATATATACATAGAATATACATATAATATACATATGCATATATACCCAGACCAAACCAACCAAAATGCTGATTGAAATGTGATTTAGGTCTGCCGGTCAAATCCTCCATCCACATTTCGCTTGCTTGGTCCACACCACTAAAAATCCGCTGCTTCACAAAACGGTCTCTGGTAAACAAACGTGGAAAAAATCGCCGGAAAATCGCCTATTTATAGATGATTTTCCCATTCCAACCTTAGACCTCCACGAAAATCCTGGATTTCCCAGCCAGCTGCGTTGGACACCGGAGATCTCTGCGTAACTCCCAGGAGCCGAGATATTTGACGCGGCGCCTCATTCGTTTCGCCTCTGAAGATGTGGGGCTTGCGGACCCCTCGGCGCTCAGCCAGGCCGCCTGCTGGTGTTCACCCTGCAACTATCTTAAATGACCGGGGGGTAAATCTCCATCTAACTTGCCATTCATGAATTCTCATGTGTTTCGCATATTCAACCGGAGAAAAACCATGTATGAACCAATATGATCGGATAACAACCATTATGAACCATATTAATTAAATTATTTATGAACCAATATTATAATATATAGCCAATGTTGACATATATAACCAAATTTATGATCCTATATATAACCAATATTAACCGTTCTTATGAATCATCACCGGAGGCTATTTGTCCCATCGAACCTGGGAAATTCAGGCCGTGGCGGCAGATCAGGCCGTGCATGCCATCGGCATGCCGGAAGCAGGGGTGGTCATCGCCCAGTGCGTCACCAGCCCAAAATGGTGGTGAAATCACCATGAAAAGCCGTGAGACATGGGGAGTTAAGATGAGTTATAGATGAGTTAAGCAAGTATTTTTCGGCTTTGGCTGAACATGGTGGGTTACGTAACTAGTTAAAAGATGTCAAAGCCGTGCGATTTGAGCGTCAATTTATAGGGGTTGAACTGTGCCCCATGTGCCCCCTGGTGCTGGAATATAAATCCCATCCCACCCCATTTTTACCCATTTTTATGGCCCAGTCATGTAGGTAAATATACCAGCCCCATGGAGGCTGGAAAATCACCCGAAAACATGGAGGTTTCGGGAACGCTGGGAAGGCTGGGATATAAACCCAACATGGGGACATCAACAAATCAACAAACAGAGGGATTTAACATGATGTACCCTCTGGTAAACTAACATAGCTATTGAAAATGACCATTTATAGTGGATTTTCCCATTGAAAATGGTGATTTTCCATAGCTATGTTAAATTACCAGAGGGTAACCAATGGATGATGATGAAAATTAGGTTTGCCTTCCCCCAAGTTATGTCAATTTCAATCTATTTTTGTAGGGTAAAATAATGTATATAAAATTAAGTGAACAAGCATCAACAATAACGCGTTTTTCATAAGTCCCTACTGTTGGGGATAGTGGTTAAGAACCCCTTCTCGCTCAACTCTGGTGCCGTTGAGGTTATCTATTTAGCACTGGCACCAAAGAGTTGTGCTGTGTATCGCGCTTATGAAGAGGCCTGCGACTTGGCAATTGAGGCGGGAACCAGAGATGAACAGAGATAAAAATATAGACTTAACAAATACATCATTGTGGTAAACCCAAGACCATCTTTGTTTTGATGGACAAGTGCTGATTTCTGGTGAAATTGGTGGCGTTGCTTAATATTGTTTACAACATAAATCAGTGGTAAACCATCCTGTTTTTTTTGGAGGACGTATGGATGGTGTGTACCTGCTTTGTTGAACTCGCATCTTGATCACCGTGCAATTGAGGAAGTTTGGCAAACTTGGAAATGCTCTGCATTTGACCATGTTTGGGCAAATGTCTTAAATAGAAATGCATGCTTTGCCCAAGGTGGGTAGCAGGGTGTACTCCCGCGATCTGACAGAAGGATTGGATTAATTGTGAAATCACTCCTGGCGTGCTGGTATACAATTAAGACGAGCAATCCAGCCAACAGGTATACATTCTTGTCATCATTAAACCACGGATTTCCGATTGTTTCCTAGAGGTTCTTCAGATTTCTTTGAGATGTCCTAACCAGCCAAGGTAAAGTCTGTAAAGAGGAGCCACATGCGCCTGTGCCGTTGCACATCCGCAATGCTCCCACCAAGATGATGAGGACGGCTGGACTCATGCAGCCATTCAGCCTGTTTTTTTTCGTTGGGCTTGCGCAGCGGCAGGAACCTGGGGTATGGCAAAGGCTATGTCTACAACCCATCCAGTGGATACACCAGAGGCTGCGAGCAAGGCCTGGGCCATTTTTCCTCCAGCTTGACCTGGGTGATATCCATCAGATCAAATAAGAACTAGCAAGATAAAGCCTGAAACTTCCACTGAAAAGACCCATCGCTTCTCAGCTTTTTGCAAGAAAAATCAGTCACCAGGATATCTTCCGCCAGAACTTCAAGATCGAAAGTTCTTCTTTGCCGAAGATTGTGAGCCCGGACACCGCTTGCACTTTTGCGAGGAAAATAAGCCGCGGATTCTCCCGAACAGCTGAGAGTGCTGATCTGGACTCGCCCACGAAATGTTTGACCGGATTCCCCAGCCTAGAATGTTTGAAATCCCCAAAGATATCTAAAAACCCACTAAATTCTTCTAAAATCCATGTTGCTTTTGTTTGTCCATCGCCGTTGACAGATTTTAAAATCAGAAATTTCCAGTAGGCGTCTCGCAGGGCAAGGGCTGTTGGGGTTTTACACCAGTTGATCTAACAGGCAGCGGACAATTCTACATCAACGTCCACTTAATTATATATCTTATATGTTACAAACATATCCACTTATATGACTTATATGTTACATTTTACAAATTTTACACCACTTATTTCGGAGTAATTGATTCTACAAACATATCCAGAAATACGGTATGCAATTCCTCTCTGGAAATCATGGCAGTGGAAAATCACCCATAAAAAAACGTTTTTTTACCATTCGCTGGTAGGATTTTCAATTGCCATGTTTGGTTACCCTCTGGTAATTTGTTACATAGCTATTGAAAATGGCCATTTATAGTGAGTTGTCCCATTAAACATTGTGATTTTCCATAGTTACGTTAGTTTACCAGAGGGTACCGGATGATCCAACAGAAATATCTAATGGACTCCCTGGGTACCAAACAAACATCCTAAAACTGTTTGAACTTCCCCAGCATGGACACAATTAAGGTGCCTTGTTGGGTACCCAATTTCAGGACCCCTGCCGAAATTCGCCGTTTCCCACTTTGATGGATCACTAATTTTATGAACCTCACAGGCTGAAGGGTTTCATTTGATTTCATGCAGTATCGCTATGGGGTTACAATGGGTAGCTTTTTTTAAGGTGGCGTAATCCCCATAAGCTCCATGCTTTCTTCAGGTTGCCAATGGACTGTCCTTGCCTCCGTTCCGTTGGGTTCAGCTGAGAGCCCAGATGCGAAGGATGGTTTTTGATTGGTTTTTGGATGTGTCGGATGTGTCAACCAGAACATCAGAAGCGCCAAAAAATGAGTGTGTGGGTAGCTGGTAGCTCAGGTCAGCCATATTTTTTGGGTTTCAGAGTAGACATTCCCATTGCTCCCATGCCCACTCCAGGAGCGGGTGTGTTTCTTTCCCGGGGGAAGGGGTTATGTACACCGACAAATATAAGGATATAAGGGCCAACATCCCTAGAATGTCCAGATTCTCAACTTTTCTATCTATTCGGATAAATCATGAGAAATCAGAATAATTCACCAACCTTCATGTACCTGCATTTTGGATCATTTTGCCATGATTCCCTTTATATACTTACCATAATCAAGATGAGGTCGCAACACGAGATGCTTATAAAGACAATATATTTGCGCAAGGCAACATGGCCCAGGTTCCAAGCAATTTTTCCTTCCCGGAACTCAGATATTATGGTTAATGTCAACCCCGGGTTTTTATTAGCCCTAGTCTAGGCCCTAGTTGATGAAACATCGTGGGGTTGCCCCAAAAAATTATAGTTTATGATCATTTCAGATTAAAATGGACCACACTTAAACAGCCTTGGGTTTTATGTTTATCCGGGGTTGACATGCGTAAACAATAAAGTTAAAACCTAATACTAATTGGTGTTCCCAACTTTGTTTTGATATTTGCCCATGATGAGCCTTTCGTATTTTTGCTACCAGGTACCGACCTGAACCTGAAGAAATGCTAGGAGACCTGGGGGCACTTGGTGATGCGCTGACCCGTGGACCGGAACATCTGATTCTGGGGGCCTCATGATGGGTGCTGTTTGGAGAAAAAAACTCCATTTTCAGAGCCAAATCTTTAGCGAGCACCTAGAATGGACATAATCAATGGATTGGTTTAAGGGAAAATCTACGGAACCCATCGATTTTTCCATTAGATATGGGGTTTTCATGGGTTTTCCTGTAAAATTTCCCTTAAACCAATCCATTGCATAAAACAACCGCTTTATCTGCTACTCTTTTGTTCGGTTGCCTGGGCACGGCCCTGGCCGATTCTGGTGCGCCTGGAAGAGGCTGAAACATCGAAGCCAGTGATGAAAAGCCATGGTTGCATTCTTGCTCATCCACTGTTTAGGGTGCCCAAAGACTCGACCTGTACTGTATATATATATATAAATATATCTGTATATAATATGTATATAATATGTATATAAATGTATATCTGTATATAATATGTATATAATATGTGTATATATAATATATATAGTATATATATATATATAATATATAATTATATAATAATATATATATATAATATATATATATATAATATATATATATAATATATATATAATATATATATATATATAATATATATATATAATATATATATACGCATACGTGTATCTAGATACCAACTGTCAAGCTACAAACAGATATATCATAATAACACGTTTTTTTTCTCTTCTGTTTTTGATGCATAATATATCATGTACCTATATCACATACATGTGTCAAGCCTCATAAACATATCATACTTGTACTGTATCATCACAGGCTATTACAATAATGCAAGCAACTATATAGTTGCATATTACTATTACAATTCTACATCTACTTACAAATAGATTAGCCCAAAAAGTCTCAGAGAGTTATGAATACGTAAATTTTATCATCACACTCTCTCTACCCTCTGGTAAACGTTTACATAACTATGGACAATCACCATTTTTCATGGGAAAATCCACTATTTCTATGGCCATTTTCTATGTCGCTATGTAACAAATTACCAGAGGGTACTTAGTCTCTCCGATATCGACACGTGATATCCATGGAATCTTTTGGGTAGCCACTTACTCGAGGCTTAGTCCTTTGACCATCCACGGCATGGAGCTGAACCTGCCACGCGGCTGGCGTCTTTTTTTTGGATTGGATGATGGCGTAAAGCCATGGTGCTACTAATATGAATGGCTTAATACTGGCTTAATGGTTAATACTCATTTATCTTGATTTTTGAGTTTTTTTTTGATTTATGATGACAAATTATTATTGATTGAATTCACATTTGTGGATTTATTAGTAGTACTTCGACTATTTTAACAACAATGGATATTGCATATTATTATCAGTTGACACTGTTGTGTCTAATTGAGGATTATTGAATGCTTAGCAGTGGGTAAAGCCACATTTTAACATATACAATAATTGATTATAATTCATCCACATTTGTGGATGAAACAGCTCCATTTGTGGATTAAATATACTATCATTCCATTCAACAATCACAGATAACAGATAAATAACTAATTCATGAGTAATGTTAACATTGGGTTTATTGTCAACATTGGGGTTCTACCAAGCTGTTGAAAAGGGATCATTACAATCCAATATTGGAATAGCTATAAATTCTATAATCAAACCAGTAAAACCAGCTGCTCAGTTGATATTTGTGTATTTATAGTGGGAGATACGGCTAATGGTGTGAAATTTTGGGGTATAACCAACAACACTGGATCTTAGTGGATAATCGTGGGGCTGTAACCAATGGTGGGGTACAACCATTAATTATCGGGGTAAACCCAATAATGATAGGGATTTCAGACCATTTGAACCTATTCACGACCTGATCAGCTGAGAAAGTTAACTGGATTTATTCTCAACTCAACATTTTTTGTGTTCGCATGCACCCACGTTTTTTTTTTTTAAATAACCTGTATAATTGAAATATCCGGATAGATTCTAACGACCCCGTGTCGCGACGGCACTATCCTGAAGTAGCGGATTTTTCAGGTTTGTGCATTGTCATATTATAAGTGTAGTTAAAGAAACCTGGAATTGCTCTTGAGGAAAATCAATTCGGAATTCTAGGATCTTCCCGGACTTGGTTCAAGGCAAAACGTTTTTGGAGACCCTGAGATTTAGTTTTTTTTTTGTGGTAAATTTCTTGGTTTCAGATTTTTCCTTAGATTTCCTTTGTGTTGCACTCTGTTTATTGATCATAAATGGACATAGATTTTTTTTTACACTAGCATTTATCATAAGCAAAGGCTAACCATGTCACATGGAACTATTGCAATGACTTGAATGACTAGAAGTCACGGGGGATATCACATGATCCAAGCCACCATGATTTGTGATATGTATCTGGGTAAATTTAATCACGACCTCACGTCATTCTCCCGAACCCTGGAATCATGGTTTTTATAGGGAAATCATCCCCTTTTGTGGCCGCAACAATTCAGGTTAGTGAAATATTCTAAATATATCAGAAATCCCCAAATATATCATGGTTAATAAGGTTAGTGAACTATTCTAATTTACCCAGATAAGTATATATTAATGGCTGTTTGGGAAGCTCCATTCCCATTGATGGCTCCTAGAAGTAGGAACATTGGCACTATATTATGTGGCACTGAATACTTGGAGAAAGATATATTTCGGCCAGTGTTTCACTTGGTTAGTGAACTATTCTAATTTACCCAGATATATAGGAGAGACCAGTTTAGTATCGGGAAGGGACTTCATGGGAGTCCCATGAGGATTTTTGTTGAGAACACCAGAAAATCCCATAGTTTGAAACCATTGATTAACATAAGCGATGTGCTTGTTCATAAATAAGCCCATGTTTGGACACCCCCTATATTGTGGTTGTTCATATATATATACACATATTTTTATATACACAAAATATTTACATATTCCTGATATGGTTCGTATATATATATAAATATATCTATATATAAGTATATATACATATATATATATATTTAAGTGTATATATATATATAAGTATATATATATGAGTATATATATATAAGTATATATATATATAAGATAAGTATATATATATATGTACATATATTCATAACCCAAAGTGATGTCCCCATGAAAATTCACCACATCTCCAGCCTAAAGGCTCGGTGCCCTGGCTGGCGTCTTCATCGGCCGCGTGGCCGTCGAAACGCGACAGGTGGGGGTGCCCTGCCCTAGGGCTGTGGTGATCTGAGGGTTTCCATAGCCATGGAGGTACCCCAATAGCTGGATGGTTTATATCAATGGCCATTCCAGGATCCGATTTATTGG